CACGAGCAACCTTGGTGCGCTCCTCTAATTTTACGATCTCATTTAGCTTAGCCTCCCGACACCATCGCTGGTTTGTTCAAAGTCATGCCCGATCCTGCCTCTCTGCCTCCTCTTCCTTTACTTTTTTTTTTGAGAACTGTTCTTCGTAGGGGCATGCACAGTATTTACGTTTTCGAGGTTACGACTTTGCATTCTTAGCCTAAGATTCGTTTAGCTAAGTGCATTATTCGCGCCGTCCATGCTTTGAGCTTAGCAAGCTCTCGCAGTCCTAGCCTGTTTTTTTCGTTATTTGGTTGCGCTCCGTCCCCTCTTTTATGAACGATTTTTCCAGTCGGCCGGATTTCCTCAGCGATTCGCTTCGTTTGCCGTTTGGCGATGAAGAGGCTCGACCAATTTCTCCGATCACGGCCCCGCTGATAAAGCCATCCAAGCAGCCAGCATTACCGTCACCCTCACCTGGCCTTTCACAAATCTCTGCTGCTCCTCCGGAACCCACAAGACGCGCCTATCTAAGCAGGCAGTGCGCCCTTTCCAGTTCCACTATAAGTCAGGAGTACCAACGCCAGGCGCAGCTTACTGACACCGTGACACCCGATTCAGTGGCGCCTACCCCGATGCCCCGCTGTATGCCCATACCTCCCAAAGCATCACTTACCGCGTCGGTAAGCAACCTTGAAAACAAGCCCAGTGAATTGCTGGAAACTGAAGAACAGCGAACTGACCGCGTTCTGAGCCAAGAACTAGTCGAGCATCGCAGTGCTGCGTCTGATAAACGTATGCCAAATGGCATGCACGCTAGTACGAAACAGATTACATTGTCTGGTGCGCAAACTTCTGGATATTGTGATCTCTACCCTCGATTATCGGTGAGTCAAGACGAGCTCCACCTGCCCATACCGGCGCATCGGGATGACCAGTACTCGCTGGAAACTGGGACTCCGGAGGATTTCCAAACAGTCTTGAAGAAGGCGAAACAGCTTCCATTCGAAAATTTACCGGACGATGTATCGCTGAAGAAGAAATCGGACGCTGCAGTCGTTGACGGCTATGACGAGAGGCACACTTCTGTCAAAAAAGAGTAACTTTTAACTCAATTTTCTTTATTTCAACAGAAATTTCACTAAGATATTTGCCGACATTTCGCACTATGCATTCTATACCAGTCAAGTTATCGGTTCTGGTAGTTTTCGCAGTTCCGCGTTTTGACTTTTGATTTAAGTCCGTAACGCAGCAGGACCAGATAGGGCTTA